ACCTGGGTCCTCTGGAAGTGTAGTCTGTGCTCTTAATTGCCAAGCCATTTTCTTCTATGAGAAAAATACATCCAAATGTCATGTCTGACCAGTGTGGTTGGCTTTTAGGTTTTCACACTAACACTTTAAAATTCATATTATTTGTGATGTGAGTGTGTTAGAACTACTTAGACATTTTCTGTTAGATGACAAATATGTCTTCATGGTACTTCCAAAAGGACACTCTTGACTTACTGAGTCTTCATATCTATTATTGGCGTTTTGTTTTTTGTGTTTTTGGGTTTTTTTTTTTAGAAAACATACCAGTACTAATGGAAACTTTCCTGTAACTTCAGTGCTAGAACATCTGATGCCCACTTTGGCCTCCTCTGGTTACCCACGAACATGTGGCACACGAGCATTAGACACACACACACACACACACACACACACACACACACACACACACACACACACAATGAATATTATTTTAAAAGATGTTTGTAGAACCTAAATGTCAAAAAGGTCTTTGTCACACTGAATTACTACAAAATAATTTTCCCTGTTTGCCACTTAGTTTTTAGGTATGGTGTATTAGCCTAGGCAGTTAGTTTTATCTTACATTTTCTAATTATATTTTCTTAGCAAGAGTTAATGTAATTTCTCTAAATCTCATAGACTCTAAATACAATTTAGAAGTAGGATTATAATTTCTTAGGTAATTAAATCCAAAATAATCAGATAGGTCTACTCTGGGATGAAAGAACAAAGTAGAAATTGTCATTTAAAAAGGATGGAAGGGATAACAACTTTCTGTTGTGGCATAGTAACCGAATCTTATGTGCTGTCAGTCCCATGGAATTACGAAGTATTATTTTACCAGGGAGGAAAATGAGAATCAAAGATTATAAACTAATCAAAGTTGGTGTGGGAGATTGATCAAGATGTTTTGTTTTTTCACTTCAAAGACTGTGTACTTTCCTCAGGACAGTGTAAAGAGCTGCAGTTGGCAGCAACAGCATTGGTAATGAACAGAGACAGGTCATTGGTAATGACCAGAGATGAAACCTGGTGTGTCTCAACGTCAGCAGTTGTTTGCTGATTTGGGATAACAGCTTTGCACTCATATACACCCAAGTCTGATTCCTACATCACTTTGCCAGTCTTGTGATCATAGCCCTATTTAATACTTCTACTGATGTTGGTGAGAATTAAGGTGTAATGATAAATAAAAGTTTTGAGTGGTTTTTCACAGAGTACTAAATAAACAATTTATAGCACTGAAACAATATTATTAGTTAATGTTTATATTAAGTATTCATAAATGTTCCAGGTATAATACTGTAAAAAAAAAAAAAAAAAAAGGAAGGGAACAAGAGAAAAGAGAATGTAAAGAGTATGTGAACTAAATCTCTGTATCCTAAAAAGACTTAAGGGTTACTTTTCCTATTTTATTTAGAAGTTTATCTCGGCTCTTAAAAAAATTATTCTTGTGGTCAAAGACAGCAATTAAAGAGCACTTGCTTCCCTTTAAAGGAACAGAAATCAGGTCCCAGAACCCATTACTGGGCAGGGGAACTGACATTCTCTTCTGGACTCTTGGACACCTACACAAACATTGTATGCACACACATTGTACACACACACACACACACACACATTAATTAATTAATTCTTCTCAAAATGTCAATAATAATTCTGATTTACTGTTTAATTTTCTTTTCTAGAGAGTCCCTCTGCTACTTCTCTATCAATTTCATTCAAAATTCATTGATAATTGTACCTTGAATTAATTTTTCTCTGAAGGTTATGTGATGACATTTAGCTTTATTTGTGATTATAATGTTGAAAATAGCATTCTCTTCTATTTATATTTTCATTGGTCACTTATGTAGATTTGTAGGTTGTTTTAAAATGTTAATAGAATATAATCCATTATTATTGTTCTTACCTAATAACCAAATTGTCCAAAGTTTTTCCACTAGGCACACTATCAAGTTAATTCCAAGGTTCCCTTTACAAACTATCATAATTACTTTTGTTTTAATTTGCCTTTTACTAACTCAGTCCATGTTTAAGAAATTTTGCCTTAAGAATTCTTACTAGGAACCAGGCGGTGGTGGTGCACGCCTTTAGTCCCAGCGCTCGGGAGGCAGTGGCAGGAGAATCTCTGTGAGTTCAAGGCCAGCCTGGTCTACAAGCGCTAGTTCCAGGACAGCCTCCAAAGCCACAGAGAAACCCTGTCTCCGGGGAAAAAAAAAAAAGAATTCTTACTAGGCCAGGCATTTAATCCCAGCACCCAGGCTGAGGCAGATGGTTCCCTGAGATCTAGGCCAGCCTGGTCTACCCCATGAGTTGCAGGACAGCCAGGGATAAGCAGAGAAACCAAGTCTTGAAAACAAAACAAAGTTTATTGCTAGCTTTTAAGGGAATATCAAGTGGCCTGGAAATGTGAAAACTGAGAGAAAGGTGAACCCTTTTCACTATAACTCTATATTCTGAAAGTGCTGTAGGCAGCTCCCCAGAACATTCAATATGTAGGGTAGAAATTTACAATGTTAAAATTAGAGTCGTAATTGATAACTTTGGGCTGGGGAAGTGGCTCAGCTGTACAAGCATGAAAGCTAAGTTTGGGTCCTTAGCACTCATGCGCAAAGCCTGGGCAGGGGGTGGTCCCTGAAGCTACTAGACCAATCAGTATTGCCCCAAATCCATGAGCTATTTCTTTATCAATAACTAAAGGTGGAGAGCAAGTGACGACTTCAGGCCTCCATATGCACATGCACACACACTGTAAAAGCAAACACAAATACACAAATCAAAAACTGTTAACTTCTACTGAAGAGTCATTGAATAAAAAAAAAATAGGATGTGTGTATGTTTTAATAATACTTTAATGATGGAACATTAAAGATTGTTGAGGAAATCAAACATTGACTTAAGATGTATGGACCCTGGTAGGGCTGCTGGTCTTACTCAGGGTGCTTTGTTTGATAGCCATTATGCATAAAAAGACATGGTTTTTATTCTGTGTATGTGTTGTATGCCTGTATGGGATTTCCCACACCTGTGTTCAGGAGCTCACAAAGGACAGAATATCAAATCCCACCAATCTGGAGTTACAGGCAGCTGAGGGCTGTCCAGTGTCCTCTGCAAGACAAGTCTGTGTTCTTAACTGCTGAATCGTATCTCCAGCCCCCAAAGAAGAATCTTTTTTAACCTTATTGTGCAAGTAAAGAAACAGTGACCCAGAGAAGTTAACACCTTGTTTTCATTCCACATCTCCCCCTGAACGTTCCCTCTTTCGCTTATGTTTTTTGCATCTTCCACCTTTTGTGGCTTCTTTAGGACATATAAGTTTGATTCCCTTTCTGCAATATTCTAAACTAATCTCATTCAATTTTAAATAATATTTTAAATAATTCTTTACATTTTTTCATACATCTATACAATGTATTTTGGTTGTAGCCATCCATCAAGAACTCACTTCAGCTCTCCCTCGTTCCTGTCACCTACATACACACAACTTCATGTCTTCCTTGATACTAAAAAGAGGGAAAAACCTCTTGAGTCCAGTTAGTGCTGCCCATGAGTGTGGGGCTGCCCTCTGGGGCTTGAGTAACCTACCAGTGGCCATGTCTCCAAAGGAGTGTAACTCTTCCTCTGTTGCAAAAAATGTCTTGAAATACTCTGGGTTGTTTGTTTGTGTGTTTGTTTTTTACTTTGTGTGTACATTTGCATGAGGATGGTAGTGTGTGTGGCCTTGCTTTTGCCACTACACATATCTGGAGATGAGAAGACAACTTATGAGAGTCGTTTCTCTTCTGCCCCTTGGGTCCTGGGGATCCAACATGGGTCATTAGTCTTTACAGCAAATGCCTTTATTAACTAAGCCATTTCATGTGCTGTTCATTTCTAAAGGAGGCTTTAGCTAATTAAGCTTATGGATTGTAAGGAAATAGTTTTCAAAAGTTTCCTTTGTTTTCAAATTCATGTTAAAACTGAGTTTATGTGAAAATGTGTATTTTATCCTAAAAATTCTGAATAAGTGATGAAGGAATATTTTGCTTGAAAAGTGGCTCATGAAAGAAATTATTTGTATTAAATACTCTTTCTGACTTAGTCTTTCTCAGTAAGTTTATTTGCTCAGGAAAAACTGCTTGTTTTGAAAGCAGTATCAAATAAGTTTAGGCTAGTCATTTTCCAAATATTTGTGTATGGGGAGTCAAGGATATTTAACAGCTGCTCTGGCAGGTGACATGTGGGGGTGGGGGTGAGGGAAACTGGAACCCACCTTTTTACATCTTTTCCCAGGTGCCTTGAACACATCCACAGAGCTATTTGGAGACGAGCTGAAAAATTACTCTAAATTACAATTTTATTTGTGAGCACCAATAAAACCAAATAGTTGGTTATTGCTGAGAAATTTATCCTGCAGTTCTAGGTGTCTAATTTATAAGGTTTTTGAATTAGACTTCAGGGCCTATGTTACATTTTATTACATTCTACAGCCTAAGTGTAGAATGGCAGGAATTAAGGGGAAAGCCTGCATCACAGCTGCTATTCATCTGGGAGTTTGGCTAAAAGGGACTAGCTTGGTGGAGCCTGGGTTGTGATAAAAAACAATGTCTGGAGGCTGTTTAACTGAAGTCCTGTGCTCTGATCAGAGCTGAATTTAATACTGGCCCATAAGTTCACATAATTATAATTTCTAAGTGTCTTCAGGACATCAGAAACTTAACTCCCACCACATGAGAAATGATTATGTCACCTGTGGATCTTAAACATCCTTAGCAAGCAAGCTGGGATAGAGTTGATGAGCAGACCAGGTAGCTAAATTTCTCTACCAAGTGCTACACCCCAATTACCCCAGCACATCTTTATAACATCCTATAGCTTTCACTGGGCTTTAATGAGAAATTACAGTTCTGATAAACAAATGTCTTGTCAAGATTTGTTATACCACTGGGAAAGATGGTTTATATTTTCATGTCACCTTTATTATCTCCTGGCCTTCTCAGGCTTGCAGATGGGTCAAGGACTCTGGAGAGTGGCCAGAAACCAGCATCTCCAACAGGAAGCCTACAGTGAGCCAGGCTACCTCAGCAGAGAGCAGAGCAGGAGAGTGACTTCAAGCAACATTTCTCACTCCAGCCACCGGAAACAAGCCCAGGGAGGCATTGATCTGTATCACCTTCTGAAAGCAAGGAAGTCTAAAGAGCAGGAAGGGTTCATTAACTTGGAAATGCTGCCTCCTGAGCTTAGCTTCACCATCTTGTCCTACCTAAATGCAACTGACCTCTGCTTAGCGTCATGTGTTTGGCAAGACCTTGCTAATGATGAACTTCTCTGGCAAGGGTAAGTGCAACCCACCAACATTTAACTCAGATCCCTGACTTCTTTAATGTTCTTTATATAGCATGCATGTATTGTAAAATAATTTCCGTTCATATGAGTGTATATAGTAATAGTTATCTTCTCAGTCAATTTTGATATTGCCAAAAAGACAGTAGAGAAGACATTGTGATGATGACTACAGAAAGAAGGAAGTTAATAATCAAAATGTGTCAGTTATTACACATCAGGCATTGCTTCTCAGTTATTTGAGAAGCATACCCATTCTGAGTAAGAATTTATAGTTCAAAGTGTGTAGGCTTTTTATCTTGGTGAAGTTTGTGTTTCCCAGAGGAATACTGTCTGAAGACTAGACATGCTTAAAGATCAGTAAAAACAACGTTTTTGTTGTTTCAAAGTGAGCATGTGTGCTTTTGTATTTCTGTTTAACAGTGTTTGCTATCATCAACATTTCAATTGTGACAACTTCACCTATATTTTTTTCTAAACCTATTTTTATCACTGAAGCAGGTGAACAGACAGTTTGTTCCATGGACATTTTAATAGCTGTTGCACCAGTTTCAACTTAAACTACAAATCCACGAGCTTTTGTAGAATAGAATCTATTTTATAAAATACAATTTATTCCTAAATAGCCTCCCACTCTAGTGAAAGATCATAGAAACCACACCCAGCTGAGTCTATATTTAAGCTTAAAAGAATATTCGTTTCTAAACTTAGTGGAATTAGGTCTCAATGTGTTTTTCATCAGATTTTAAAGACATTTAAAATATATTGAAATTTAGTATTTCCTTTGTCTCCAGAGTAATACACTAGATTTAGTGCTCTGATGTTTCTGGGACTCTGAGACACTACACTAAACACTTTAGTTTTCAAATACTAACTAGTGCCTCCGTATGAATTGGAAACAACAATCCTAATGAAAAGGGTGCATTGTGCAATATAGTTCTTATCCAAGGTTGAATAAAAATTTTATCAGCTTCATGTCTTTGTGTTAGTAAAGCATCATGGATTTGAAACAGTATCTTAAGCATGATCAGCATCATAGTACTTGGTGTGTATAGTTGTGGAATTATGCTGTGTTTAATTTATTGTTAATGTTTGCTTTTTTGAAAAAGCAAGTGAAGTCTCCATGACCAACATTTAGTGTTACTTCACAACAGTTGACATGGCTTATTTAATAGATCCCACGTGGCTTCTTACCATTGTGCGCTCTGAGTAAGACTTTTATCTAAATGTTGCCACATGAATATTAGCTGGATTTCTTTTGAGGACCTTCTTGTTTCTTTTTCTTGTATGCTGCACCAACTGTTGTATAATAATTTGTTTACACTGTGTGAAGATGTGTCTCTGCCCAGGATACCTTCTGATTGGCTTAATAGCGAGGTGAATGACCAATAGCTAGGCAGGAGAGAATAAGTGGGATTTCCAGGGAGAGAGAGGAACTCTAAAAAGAAAAGAGGTGGTGGGTAGACACCAGGGAGATGTGGAACAAATCGGATGTACAGAGTGGGAGAGAGTTAAAAGGCACTTGGCAGAATACAGATTAATAGAAAAAGGTTAATTTGAGTTTAGCCTAGGCTAAAGGCCAAACTTTAATAATTACTAAGTCTCAGTGTCATTATTTGTGGGCTATCAGTCGCACAATGGAAATTCCAACTACAGCCAACATCAGAGAATTGTTGACAGGATTGAGCAAACCAAAACAATTAAAACCCATTTTAGTTATCTCTAAGTGATTGTCATCTATCATTGATCTTATTTTTGATTGCTTGTGTTTAACTTCAGATAGTCTTAATAAATATGATTAATCATTGTAACTGAAATTCTTAAGTGCTACCAAAATTGCTTATGGTATGGCACCTGTCTTATTCTAGTAAACCAGATATAAGGTGTCCCATCATAAGGACAGACCTTATGTGACAAAAACATGTTTTTCCATTGGGATATAACAAGTAACAATCACCAGTTGTAGTGAACAGCTGAAGTAAACTCTCTACTATTCACTGCCCCTGGGAGAGTCATGAAAGCACATTCCAAGAACAGTTACACATTTTTGAAGAAATTGAAGTCACAAAACTTTATTTCTTGCAGTTTTCTTACAAGCACCCAGAATTCCCTTTGCATGACTCCATTGTTGGATTACGTTCTAACAGCTGCAGAATCTAATTCATTGTCATCTAATTTCAGAATGTTACTATGTGAATGGATGTTTGTCCTAGGAACTATAACCAGTTTGGTCTTATTTTCTCTTATTTTTATAGGTTGTGTAAATCCACTTGGGGTCACTGTTCTATATACAATAAGAACCCACCTTTAGGATTTTCTTTTAGAAAACTGTATATGCAGCTAGATGAAGGAAGCCTCACTTTTAATGCCAACCCAGAGGAGGTAAGTAGAGAACAGGGTTATTTGCTTCAGGTCAACTTTATGATTTTGCTGCAACCTTCTAATATTATATATAAACTTGCCGGTAAAATTAAAAGTAATTGAACATGCCTTTCCAGTCTCTGAAAAGCCAAGTTTTTGGTTACTGTTACATGGCATAATCAGTTTTATTTGCCTGATCATATTTTAATCTGTCTACCTGCTAACAGTGTCTGGTAACATGTGTACAGTACTCTACTGGTCTGAGATACATATTACCAGGAAGTATAAAATTTTGTTAATGAGAACATACATATAATATATTCATCAAATTTATGTCTGCAGAATTATCTTTCCATTTGCTGTATTTAGTACTGATGCACTTTTATTAGAGATAATCCGAGAAAACATCATTCTAATGTACTGTATCAAGATGTTGAATTTTGATGACTTTAGCTAACAAGATGGCTTAGTAGGTAAAGGAGCTAGCCATGCAAGTCTGGCAGCCTGAATTAAATGCCTAGAACTCATGTAAAGGTGAAAGGAGGAAACACCCTACAAAGTTGCCTTCTAACTGACACACTTGTATCATGGAACAAACACATTCATGTGCACAAATATAGTAACAAATTTTAATTAAAAAAATAATTTCAAGTTACCTAAAACCTCCTTGATTCTGCTTAAAAAACAATGTTTACTTCTTTCATAATATGTAAGAATGACAGAAATGTGAAGAGAAAATTATCCCTCACCTTTTCCTATTCTTATTTTAATGTATTTTGAAAAAATTAAGAGTTTCAGAAATGCTTACACATCTCCTGGACTTGCCTCCAAATCCAAATGGAAATGAAATGACCTTGGAAGTTACTTACTACTTCTGGTGCGTTGTTTTCTATGGAAACATTAACTAGAATTATATAATTTAATATTATTTTAAGGTTTTTTCACTAGTCATAAAGTTACCAAGGACTGTTTAAATTGGGAGCTAGAGAAATGGCTCAACAGTTAAGAATAGCATTGGCTGCTCTTCCACAGGTCTTGTTCAAGTCCCAAAACTACACAGTGGCTCACAACCATCTGTAATGGGATCTGATGCCCTTTTCTGCCATACAGGCATACATGCTAGTAGAGCACTCATATACATAAAATACATATATAAATAAATCTTTTTTAAGAAGCGGGGGAGGGGCTTCTTTAAGTCATGTAGCCAAGTAGTTCCTAAAATGATATTAATTTTGTTATAAATAGGAAAGTGTTTCTCCATTTTTAATTTTAAGCTTAAATCTAAATATTGCTCTTATAACTGTGAATGAAATAACCCAATGACAGCACATTTTTAAATAAATTCATTTTCAGTTACTATGTATACTTTTTGTTAAATTTTTCTTGTACACATATAAAAGTAAATTTCATTGTTAAACAGATACTTTACCATTTAGTCTTATCCTTACCAGTATAACAAATTATATGTTATAAACCTGCTATAATATTGACATTGAGATACCCATTCTCTCTCTTTCTTTTTTTAACCAATGTTTTAAAGAAGTAGTTATAATGCTTTTTATTATTGCAGTAGTTGGTTTGTGTTTTTTATTTGTTTTTTGTTTTTGTTTTGTTTTTTGAGACAGTGGCTTGTCTTGAATTTACTGTGTAGCTCAAGCTGGCCTTGAACTTCTGATCCTCCTGCTTTAGCTTCCTGAGTGCCACCATGCCCCCCAAAAAAACCCCCATGATATTCTTATTGAAAATGGAATAACTTATTAAAAGCTAATGTTTCAACTCTACATTTAGAGCCATTATAATGTAAGAATCCACTTTTAAACTCTAATGAACAATAAGGACTTATCATAAATTACAGTGTATCACTTATCCCTTTATGGTAATTTTCCAATGTCTTTTATCATAGAATATAGTTGCTTTTTACATCTTCTGTGTAAACAGATAACAGTATAACAATATGAGCATGTCACCTTTCAGGTCTTGAACAGTGGCAAATGTGCGTTGTATGGAGATCTCACGATAGTTATTCAGAGACTGGAGTAGTTTCAGAGCCTTTCGCATTTTCGTTATACTTGGGCTTTTACTAGTAGCTGATTAAAACAGCTCATATGTGAGCTTTCTGATGTTTTGCTTGGTCTACTTGCCCAATTGTGTGGTGATTGCTGGAGAAGAACTGAGGGCAACTAGGGTAGTGTGTTGCTCCAGGTGTGTAAGAATCAGGAGAGACAGCTTTTGTATGCCCCCATCTTTATGATACTCAGTTTATGAATTCTCACTGGTCTGTCATGAACTATACTGATGCTGAATCAAAGTATCATCTTGATTTTGTATGACGTGCAAATGTGTAACTTGGGAAGTGTAGGTTGTACAAAGTGAGAAAAGTGAGATATCATTGCTGGTACTGACTATGGTAAGTAGTTGTTTCTTGCTAAATGTCTTGTGATTTTATAATTGATTATGAAGTCATGCTTTCTATGAAAAGAAAGAAAAAAATACTGTGACCTCACACATCAAGATATTGACTAGATAGTTTTACATGTCTAAATTGGAAAAAATTAGAAACAAAAGTATATTTCTATGTTTGCAGCTGTGTACATTATAACAGAGTTCTTGTTAGTAACTTGTAGAACGTTTTGAGGGACTGCAAAAGAAAAGTAATATTCAAGTCCTTTTTTAATGTGATGAGGATTTTAAATTTTTGATTCAAATATTTGCTAAGCAAGGGAATTGAAATTATCAAAATTAGATTTTTTAGATTGTCAGTTTACTTTTCCATCCTAGCTTCCATTGTTATTGAGAGTTGGCTGTATTTCTTTTTTTCACTCACTGGCATGATTTAAAATAGCCTAGAGTGTTCTTGAATAAATTAATTCACTATTCTGAAAGGGCCGAGTGGCACTGCCAGGAGACACAGAGTTGAGCTACTTGGAGTGTCTGTGTTCCAGACTCTAGTCTATGCTTTTGTGAATATCAGTACTTTAGTAGGTATTACCTATAGAAAAATAAAATTCTGTGTTTACTGGGATACACTTTGGTATAAATAGACCACTCCCCAAAAAGGCATTTAAATACTGAAAGCCATTTAATGTGATCAGAAAAACAGGGGAAAACATTTTGATGATTATATTCTAGTTTTCATTATAAATACAAAATCAGTTTGTTACAAAATAACATCTATAGAATCAAAGTCACATACAAGAACGTTAACAGAAAGTTATTCTCATGTAGAACTTGGCAATATATGAGTGTAATTAGCCAGATCATGGGAATGGGTCTTGTACAGATTTCTGAATGCTAGAATCAGAATACTTTTTGGAGATTTATTTTTCCCCCACTCACTGGAGCACTGTCATCAGACATATTTGTCTGGGTTCATCTAAGTGAACAATAAATTATTGTTGATAATATAAGTGGTGTTTTTCATAGCTGCCTGAGATAATGTGATATAATTGTTGAGTATTATATAAAAAAGTGTACTTTTCCATGAATTTTAGTTTTGTACTTAAGATTTTTCATAGCAAACATCATTAAAATATAAAAATAAGAATACTTACAGCCACAGGGAGCAAGATCCTCCAAAGGACACCGTTCATGTCACGGATATGGGTAACCAAACTCCATAGCAACTGCTGGCAGTGGCTCATGGGGTGGGGGAGAACATCTGCACAATTTTGGTACGATTATCTAGCACGCTGTTGTTATCTGCATGACATTGTGATCTCAGCTGTATGTAATGTCTTGATCTTGTGCATGAGCTTGTGTACTGGTGGCAATGACCACATTCTAGTAAAGGAATGTGCTGAGTACTATCTGTTTACATTAAGTTGTTCTTTCCCTGCATGTACAAGTTCACTGTGTCAATTCTATTCTGCTAGGGGTGTTGTGATAAAGTAATTCTACTTACCATCCAGTATTTCTTAGGATCTATCTTGTTGTAGTACATTTTCTGGTCGTAGAGTCTTAAAACTGGCAGTAAACATAGTGCTTTTATTTCTGTATGATTAAATAGTCTTTGTAATGCCATGCAGTCAGATTTTTTAAAGTATGCTTCAGCTATATAAGCATATCTCTCCTATTTTATAGAGAAATACCTAATTGCATACACTTTTATGCATTTTACTAAATAGATCTTGAATAAATAAAATCTATTATGAAAAATATTTTGTTTGATGTACTTTAAATGGAAGTGAATAAATATATATGTATACTTTATTGTTAATACAACATATTCTTTTTGCTGTTAAACCAGAAAATGTATAAATTCTCCCATTATAGGAAAATTTTTAAGAGTGCTTTTTAAAAGGCTCACTTTACCTTTAGAGCCTTTTATGTATAGCATAAAAATGGTTATTATCTACTTCATAGCATACTAATAAGTGGTGAAAATAACTTTCACCCCTAAGGATAGAGAGCCCCAATTGGTTTCATCAGAACATACAGATAAACATTCTCAGTTGCATAGTAAGGAAAGTGTTCTCCAGTCTAGTAAATTTGAATAAGATAGGTTTCTGGTTAGTTGGCTGTTTATGAATGATATAGCTTTGTAAAGTATGCTGCACATTGTGAATATTCAACAGATAAATGTAGTGTCTACCATTATCCAAGTTTATTTGCTACAATAGTATTTGGTTTTGTTAAAGGAACATTCCAAGGGACACACTTAGAAATACATTTATAAATGCAAGAATGGTTGAGATGTCATACTATTCATTTAGAGTTGCCTAATATGACCTCTCTGCTAAAACTCTGTTGATTTATAATCGCTTGTTTTAAAATTTAACCTACAGTCTTTATAATACAGGAATCTATATACCTGTAATTATTTGTTTTCTTTTCCATTGTCTGATAGTACTTCTTATTTAAAAACAACAGTTTTGTTGTGACTTGACAGACTGCAGTAATTTTACGTTTTGTATTTTAGTTTCCTTAACAAATTTACCTAATGTTACAAAAGAAAATGAACTTCTAGAGTAATATTCAATATTACTGTAGACTGATACAAATGTCCCAGTAAAGTAATTTGG